CCGCTGCTGCCGCGCTTAGAATAGGATTCAAGCCCAGTATGTTCGGTTGCGTGGATCCTAGTTGCGCGCTCACTTTTTGATTGTGAATTCGAGCCTCCTCGAAGTTGTGAATGAAATGGCAACGGGGTCCGTACGGACAGAAACCGATCGTGTGGAACGTGCGGCACAGCTCGGTCTTGTATTTCGGATGCCGGGCGAGATTCCGTAGCTCGCTGTAACCGTGAGCGAACTGACACTTGTCGCCATATTTGCAGGTGCCGCTTTCCTCGAATGGCCTGCACAGCTCCGTTTTATAACGAGACGTTGGCTCGCTCGCGCTGCGATCTAGTTTACGATGTTGTTCGATCAGGGTTGTTACCAGGGACGTGTAGCTACGGCGAAGAGGCGCGTGTCCGCCATTATTCCCGGCTGAACCGTTGCCCGAGGTACTCGTCGTTGATGTCGAGGTTGGCTCCTTCGCCTTTGCGGGACCGTTCTGTAACACACACGCGAAAACGACGATCGAAATTAGTTATACCGCTTTCAATTTCCTTTCTGAAATAAAAGTTGGGAACAAATAAACAAACAAAAAAGAAAACAAAACAGAAAGAACCAAAAATAAGAAAAATGATCTCGAAGAGAAAGAAATTGGATAGATCGATCGAATCGAATGAAACTTTACGACTCGCTACACAGCTAAAGATTCGGGGATAAAAATTCCCCACTCCGACTTTTCTTTACTTCTTTAGCTTCCAATTTTGACGCCGCCCCGATACGCTCCATTTGCCACAGTTCGTTAAAGGTACCAATTACGTAACACGCATATAATTGTACGCATGTATGTTAAACGTTTGACAAACAGTGATATTCGTTCACGCGGTATAAAACACAAAATTTATCGTTTTATCGCAATCGAAAAGGCTATTGATTCGATCGTATAAAAATACTGCTACGAAACAAACTATACGACACACAGACACACGAATTTCTCTCCAACACGCTTCGGAATTTATACGAAAAACAGCGAAGTCCGTTCCAACTTCGGCTCCGACTCCAATGATCAGAAATTCCTTCCGAACTTCGTTGATCTTCGACCAAGTTTAAAAAAGTTATTGGCAGAACAAAACGATCTTGGCAATTTTCCAATCGTGTCATTTTCGCGCAACTCGCAACGGGACGAAAGACGTTAAAACACTGAAAGGCTGTTTCGTTAATACGTTAATAGGGATGCTCGGAGGTAACGCTCCGCGTAAACATGTTCGGAGCAAGATTAGTATTATTAGTAACGAATTACGACGACGTCGTCGTCGTCGTCGTCGTCGTCGTCGTAATAACCGCGCTCATACGCGAGTCACCGCGCGTTTCCTTCGAGAAACAGCTACTCCAATTTGTGGAAGCGTCGTCGGCCAGGCATTACCGCCAACGTTCAATCGCAAACAAACTACCGTTTCGAAGAATCAAGTACCGAGCGACGAACATTGCCGTGATAAATACCTAACGAACGAAAGAATAGGCACGATCGTGGTAATTCCGATGGATACACGCTACACGTACGATATACAACAACGTTGCCCGAAAACGCCAGTCTTCGTTGCAGATATTTTACGTCGTTAGAGACGCGTTACGCAATGGAATAATACTTGGATGAGAACCCTCGACCAATAACGACCATTTATTTCTAATAGACTCTAATCAAAAATACAGGAAGCTCGTGCACAATTGCTTTATTCGAATAGTGGTTCGACGATGCTCGTCGAGTACTTTTTGTATTTTTACGAGAAACCGTTAACATCAACTTGGTATGTAAGAGTAGGAATCGCGATTGAGAAACGGGTTACGAAACGTGATAAAAGTAACGCCTGGTCTGCTGATATTTTGACCTCTTGTTTATCCAACGATAAATACGTATGTAAATGTGAGTGTAAACGACGTATGTAAATATAGAGACAAGAAAAACACGCGTATCGTTTACAATTTTCTATCTCACCACCATATGGATAACGCTATGGTCGATCGGCTTGGGATCGAGGAATCGACGATCGAGGATCTAAAATTATCGGCCAGTGGACCCAGGTATACGAGAGAAGACAAAGGTTCGACGTCTCGGCGAAGATTCGTGGAACGAGAAACTACTTGAAAGTCTGGAACTATACGTCGACCGAAAGAACAAGCTTTTGAAACGATCGCGCGTTACGGGATTTCCAGCAACCCGAGAAATCTGCTTGGACCAACCTTTCGAGAGATCGAATCTTCCACAGAACGAAACCATAAAACGAACGACGTTTTACTTTCCATCCTCGCCTCCCTCGTCGAGCGCGATACTTCTCCAGCTCGACCAAACATCGTATCCTTAGTTTTTAATTTGGCTCTCGATCCACCAACGATTCGTTGCTACGAACTTTTATCAAATGAAAAATCTTGGAACGGAATCGATTTAAACGTTAATCCGGAATAACTTGCAGAACAGTTAAATCGACCAAATAATTGATTAAACGATCAAATAAATCAAGTTGGAGATATCATCGTACGGAGGATGCGAATCGATCGAAATGTTCTTGGTTTCCATCCAAGAATAATAACCATAAATAGCCAGGTACAACTAAATGGCTTATTATGGTAATTTATGGTCTTTAGACGCGTGTACGTTCGGCTTTCGTGATAAACGTTGCTACGGTTGCACGCAAACGATAACCCTGAAATCTATTTCGATCGTCTATCTTTCTTCAAATCCTCGTTGCTTTCCTGTAAACGCGTTATTCGTACCATCGAATCTCCGAACAAATAAAAACAGCGATGCGTCGAATCGTCGAACCTAACGATCTTGGAAAACTCTTTTCCAATAGACGAAACAACGTAAACTGGAGTACTCGCGCGCAGCTGCACATTTTCCAAACGGTTATGACCAACGAACAGCTATGTAACAGGGCATCCAACGTATTAACAAAAAATCGAATCCATCTATCCGTAGGACCAAAATCAATCGATACTTTCTCCGTAAATCTTTATCTATGTCGAAGAACCCGAAGGTTAATCGATCCTCCTCCGTTTCAGCTTCCATAGAGATCACGTCGCGTTATATCGCATCGCCTGGAAATTTCCACGAGCACGTCCGTGTCGTTCACGGCGCACACGGACACGGGCCGCGCGATACACGTTCCTAGCGCACGCGTAATTAGTCTGTCGACTGCAGGTATTAATGCAAAGAAACGTAGACGAAGGCAGGAATGCCAGAGTGTCGGTTATCCTGCGATCATCAACGCGCAACGGCTGTTTATCGCGCAGTCGTGAACGCGAACGCAAACGCAAACGCGCACGCGTATTCTTTCGCTGCTACTATTCGCTCCTTGTCAACCGAACCTGGTTCGGCTAGATGCAGTCACGTGCGAACGGTCACCGAGACGTTTTTACGCTTCCTTTTTCCGTGTCGCGGTTTATTGCACGTTCATCGTAATACTGGTCGCACAGATTACAGAGAGACGCGTTGTTGGCTTGCCGGCGATAAAGTAACGTCGATATTTTCGACAAATCCTTCCTCTCGTCGTATCTTTCGATGCAAATATTTCTTCTTTCTCGTTAACGAAGAAGAACGCGTTTGTCTGGTGCGTCCAGAACGAAAGGCAGAGTGTACCTTGAGAAGTCGCGAGAAAGTTAGGATCGAGAAATGGACGAATAAACGCGCAACGTAACGCGACCAGCTGAGATGACGCGTTCCTGACAAAACGTGCTCAACGTCCGCTGCTCGACAACGTCAACCATATTCCAAAAAATTCCATGGGAAAAAACGTGTACGATCGCGAAATGAGTCGTCGATAGACGAAAATAATTCGAGACGCGCTTCGTTCGTCATCCGTTATATCTGTTCGTCATCTGCATATTGCTCGAAAACACGTTTGCCAACGACGCGAACTAGCAACAATTGGTACCGGACGCTGTTGATTTTACGACGAGCTTGAAACGAAACTTGTGCGAAACAATCGACGCAGCGAGACGCGTTCACTGACTTAAATCGATCGCTCTGTTTCACGGACGCTTAACGTCGCAAAAATCTTCTAAAAATAGAACGACAGTTCGTTCTGATAGAACGTAGATGTCGAAATGCTATTGGAAGGCAATAGATCGGGCGATCGCGAAACACGGGGGAATAAAAGTACGTGACTCGAGTTTCTACTCGAAACGGTCTTTCAGAATGGAGTTTTCCCAGCGCTAAGAATTCTCGAGCAGTCCTTCGACTTTCCTATCCACGAGCTCGATCCTCCTCAAATCGATCGATCGAACGAGAGAAGAAAAACGATACGTTGCATCAGCAAAGGGTCGCTATGAAAGAATCGAAGAATTAATTGTTCGTTACCACTCTCGACCAAAGTTCCATGTTCCACGCATGTTCCGCGTTCGTGCACTCGAACGAGAATGCGTGCCGTACAGAGGCCCCAGCGTCCGTTTTGTAAACGCGACTGCGTGTAACAAACGTGTTAAGAGTCGATTCCACGGATCGACTCGAGAGAGTTTCCACGAAACCGGCTGAAAATAGTCGTAGCTCCTTTCATTCACTGGATTCGACGACAGAGACACCGAGAATGCGCGGCAGTTAGTAGCCTGTGGCTGTTCCGCCGCCTGTACCGCGTTTCGTGCATTCATCTGGCTCGCACGTTTTCCTCCACAGAAGCCTACGTTTCACGTTAAACGAGCTTTGTAGTTCGGCGCATGGCGATCTCCCGTGATAATCGTGTTTTCGGGCTAATGGTACCGAAGATAGAGAAGGGAAAGTTACGAGAATAATCTCGCTTATCCTTTGTAGGAAACGTAAAACGTACGACAGCGTTCGACGAATGGAACCGCGTTTTTTGTCAAACTCTCGGACAGTTTCGATACTCGATCGGTATGATACGATTTATTAGCGAAATAACGTTCAACGGTGACGATACCTGTTAAGAAACACGCCTACGATCGAGGAAAAGTTGCGCGTTTCGCAAAATATAGGTCAGTTGTCATAGAGATATAAATGTTTAACTTCAATACGATTTTATCGGATGTATATAGGTTTCGAAGCTCCAAGACGATACCTTTGGTCGCGATGAATCACATTTTCATTTGAGTCACGGCGATCCCTCGATAATTTCTAAGCGTATCGTCGTCTTTACTTGGACCCGGAAGAGAATAAAATGTAAAAAACAATGAGAATGACCAATTCGATATCGTATCGAAGATACGTATAACGTATGGACGGACGACAAAACAATCCTTGACAAAAATTGTTTCCACGAACGATACAAAGTATGCAATTTGTCGTTAATTAGCACGTATCGCGATTTCTTGAGTAAAACACGTGATAAGAATTATGTCTTCTAGCGCGAGCTGTTTCGTCGTGTTCTTGAATGGCTGACAAATTTTCGAGAAACGTTATGGCAAACGTCAATTTAAATATGTTTTATCAGACACGGTCGGATAAGTTAATGATAATTTAAATATAATTAGATAAAACAATGCCAAACTCTTCGTCTTTTCTTCTTTGTTTTTTCTGTAAGTCGTAAAATCGCGAGACAAATAAAAGTAAAAAAAAATTCTACTATTTTTCGTACATAATAGGACAGTCTAAAAAATAGGAAATCAAAATTGCTCACGGAGGAACGATGAAAGTTACTTTTGAGTTGAATCTATCTACATATTGATAAATATTGGTTCGACGTAGAGAGGCGCAAACATCGTTACGTAGAACGGCAGGGCACCACAGGATTATGCAACGTGCAACATCGTAAACATCGCGCGTATTACCAGCGATAAATCGCTTACAACGTATATTTAAATATTTCACGTTCCCATGACATCAGAAAATTACATTATATCGGGAAAGAAAAATGCGGTCGATCGATGCGTTTTAATTTTAACAGTGCCCGACACACTTTTCCCAATCGAAAGAAGAAATACGCTACAACGAATAACGATTCACCCAGTTATGTCTAACAGGTTTGCACGAAAAGAAGCCTTTCCTTCTGCCAAACAAAATACATATCTGATTTTTCGCTTCTCATGGTAAAACTCGACTGTGCCTTCGATAAATTTTATACGTATTTCCTATTATCGAATATACAATACGAAACGTTAACTCGTTGTAATCGATTTGCTCAATCGTATCGAATCGTGAAAAAGAGGAAACAGGAAAAAATAAATCGATCGCTCGATCGTCCATCGATGCAGAAGTTTCACGGCTTTGTCGTTCTATTATACGTATGTCGAAACGCGTAGACCATGGATTCGTTTCGAAGGTCAAAGATGAAAGTAAGCAAAGCGAGAGGAAGAAGGCTGCGCCGCGGCAGGCAAGTCGAGAGCGAAGAAGCAACGCCGTGCGACGCGACTCAATGGAAATCGGCGTTTCATGCACCGATTCTTACGTAACCGAGACACATCGCCGGGACTCGCTCAACTATCCCAATTAATAGGTTTCGACCGATTCGCTCGTTCTTCGACTGCGTGTTTCTCGCCGATTTCCCAGTCGATGAGAAACAGAAGCGACCCTGTTCTTACACGAGAAACGAATCGCGAAGTCCAAGCTAAGTCGTAGGCAAAAATAAATAGCGCGCGATCTCTTGTTAACCTCGTTGTTTGAATTTGCAGTACGCTATATATTTCTTAACGATAAATTGACCTCTGCGACAAACTGTTTAACACGTAACGTCCAATGTCCTACAATTGCTCGTATACATAGGCATGCTGTGATATCGTGACATCGCGAATGTCACATGAACGCAATAAAAAGAAAAAAAAAAAGAAAAGAAAACAAGACGGCATTGTGAACACCGAGTAACGAAATATTCGGCGAATTGAACGCGGGCGTCGTATGTATGCGTCGTGTATGAAATGTTTTTTCAGCAAGGTAACGTTATTGTTGTATTTAATACGCAATATAATACCGATATTGGTGATACGTGAATCGCGAAGAGGGAGAATCTTTGAAACAAAATACGCACGTACTCGCTATAAGGCAGGAAATAAAGAAAGAACCCAACTAACCTGGTTTGTTCGTATAAAACGCGCGTAAGTGGAAAAATCAGGAAGAATGTGGCCATTTTTCTGAAAATGATAATTTAGTTATAAAACGTCGGCTTGCTTGAAAGGATCGGGTAGAGGAAAGATTCGTTGGGTTACTACGCGATGCGATACGGTAGAAGCATCCGATCGAGAGATTTTCGCTCGCATACGTTGAAGTTGAAGACCGTTTTCAAGGCACGACTCGGCTGGACGGACAAAAGAGGCAGGCGAGCACAAGGAGAGCCAACGAACGTTTCGCTTTCCGGCGCAGAAGAGCGTGTCGCCCCTTTCGAGACCTGGCGCGCTGGTTTTTCCCTTTGTCGACGTGACCACCG